TCTATCATTTATCCTTATTTTTTTATTACATCTTTCTATTAGAATCTACTATAATAACATCCATATTTCTATTTTTCACTATATAATTTTCTTATCATATATATATATATATATATATATATATATATATATCTTAATTTTTACATAAATTTTAATTTTTTAAAATTTTGTACCTTAATATTTTTAGACAAGATTCCTATATTCTTATCAAGACTCAAAGATACCTATATTATAACCTCAATGCACTACATGGAAGTTTTGAACAAAAAGTCTTGACAAAATTCCATCTTTTAATATGGAAGTTGAATGACCTTTTGACAAAGATACAACCAATTCTACAAAGAATTTAATATCTTCATTACACTAGCTCCATAATACAAGCATCAACAATCAAGATAATAATATGTCAAATATTGATGCACAAACTTGTTAAAGGATCAATAATACAATCTAAATTACAATAAGTATTACTTGCATCTAAATAAAGTAATATAGCTAAAAAAACTTAATTGATTATATAAGATAAAATAGAATCAAAAAAAGATAAGACAAAGAAAATGAAAAACAACTTATTAGTAATAAGTTCTTTATTATATACTTGAATTACTCCATGGCATTAAGTAGAACAAACCAAAAATACACTATTAAGAAAATCACATCATTGATGTAGATTGAAAAGATATATTCACAAATCCCAATGTGCATTACTTAAAAAGGTGGAACTTAATTTGTGCAATCTTCAAAATAAGCACAAGCACTTTCTGTTTTTGTTTTGTACAATACTACTATGCCATTAAGCCACCTTCCTTGTTTTGCATCACTTCTACAATAAGTTATCTTAAACTTCTCAACAACAAATCCAATGCCATTTTATCTTCTTATATCAACATGACTTTTTTTACATCATCTTTATATATCTACATTACTCTTTCATTGTGGTGTATCAATGGAAAGAGATTGATAGGATATCTAGCTTATAAGTGTTGAACTTCAATCCATTATACTTCATCTTAAAATCTTCTTTACTTTATTTTCACATCCCAAAGATGGTGTAGTTCCTTTCATGTCTTAAAAAACTCTTATATAATCTTTTATAGTATTTGTGCATATTTATTAAGAAACTTTTAAGGATTGAAACACACTTATTTTCAACAATTTTTCTTAATATATAATTTGTAATCAAGGTTCACTTTTTCTATCTAATGATGTCTCTTATTTTGCATCAACTTTTTTTTCTAAATCGTTGGATATTATTTCAATGTGCTCAAAGCAATTAGTATTCTATAGACACGTTAGATATTTATTAGAATTAAGGGCAATTGCAAGGACGATGCTAGCATTCATAAAGCACAATCATACTATAAAGGTTGTGTTAAATTGGAATACATAGTCTTTAATTCTGGCCTCAAAGCTCAAATATGCCTTGTTACTATCTATTTAAATTATACATAGAGTAAGCATAGCAAAATAGATTTTGTTCTTTCTTTCTTTCTTCATTTTTTATTTTTTTTTATTTTTTTATTTTTTTATTTTTCTTCTTCTTTCTTCTTTTAAAAGCTATCAAGAAATTTAGAAAATTTCTTATAGATGACTATTAGATTGATGCTATAGTAGCTTTGATTTATTACTCTAAGACTTAATTAGTGTGTATATGCAATGTTTTCGTACTATAATTACTTATAGTATGTAAAAATTAATTAAGTCATATAATATGTTCATAAGTCTTGGTATATGTTAGAATGGTTAATAGGTTAATTTAAATAAAGTGGATATAAAAAACTTTATTTTAAGTTTTATCTATTTTGATTATAGCATTTAAAAAAATTATAAGACCTAAGTATTTAGTGTGAAACCTTGAGAGGAGATTAGAGCCTAAAGATGAAAATCTTAACTAGTAGGAGGCTTATTGGAAGGAATGAAAGCAAGGCATGGTTGAATGAAGGCAAGGAATGGAGATCTTCATTCCTATTGGTCGAAGGCCATGCCCGATGGGCTTCAAGGGGGCTGATGAGGCCTTATTAGGGATTAGGGTTTCTCTTTTGAAGTCATTTGAGCTTTAAAGGCTAGAAACATCAATTTTAGGATTTCACATACAAATTGGGTGCAAATTTTGTGTGATTTGGAGTTTTCATGAAGGAGTTATTGACGGTCAAAGTTGAGGTGTCAATTTCATACCAATTGTCACTCTTTGGGGCATAAAATACGTTTACGGAGAGCAATGAAAGATTGGCGACCAGGATTGGAGAGAAGACTTTTTTGACTACACTTTTCATATACTATTTGATGAATTTGGAGTTTGAATGAAGAAGTTATAGAGGGTTGAAGTCAGCACATCCAAATCAAAGGCAGTAAGTAAGTGATTTTATTCATAGTAATGGTTGGAGCCATATCTTGAGTTTCTAGATGAATTTTGGACTCAAACCTTTTGGAGAAAGTAGATTTTTGTGTCAAGAAGCTATACATACAAATTTTGTGGCATTTGAGTGCTTAATTTGTGAGATATGAAGAAAATTACACGAGAGTGTATAAAAACTAGGGTTTGAAGCTACTATTAGGGTTTTGGTGATATCTTAAGATCCGCATCAAATTTGTAGTTGAAATTTGTTGTAGTAGTTTTTAGAAGTACATCACTACTTCTTGTAAAACTTGAGTGTATTTGAATGGTCTGATTGAAAGATATGAGTTTTTGAAGTTCAGAAATAATACCCCATAAGGATATACAAGGATTTAGAGTTTTTTTTGTTTTTATCATATTTTGGATATTTTGGGAACTTAAGACTATATATTCGGTGTAATTTCTCCTAAAAGTATTATATATATATATGTATATATACAAACTTAGTCTTCCTTATCTCAAGACTTGATTGAGCAATTAGTGGTAGTTAGGAGCCCAGTGCTTTCTTGAGACAAACTCTTTCTATCCCGAAAACATCTAGAAGATTTTGATGATATTTAAAGATATCTTTTAATATATAGCTAATAAGAAGAACTCAATTCTAGCAAAGGTATATTCTTATGATTTTGTTAAAAAGATTACAAAGATTTGATTAAAAAATGACAAATGAAGAAGAACACAATATTATTATGATATTACAGATATGATCACTTTCAAGGAATAACATAGATATTTAACATAAGTTTTTATATCCTTCAAAATCAATATTGATATCAAAAAAGTGTATATCATGATATCTATTAATTTTTAAAATTTTTTTCTTTCCTGATAAATTGAATCAATTATTTGTACAAATAGAATTTATTAGAAGAAGTAATAAAAAATATCAAATTTGTTTCTACATCAAGTTCTTCAACATTTACTTTATAAAATTTAAACAATATAATTTTTTCTTGCATTTTAATCTTGATAATTGGGTTGCCACAAAAGTTGATATTGGATGAAATCAAGTCCAAAATGTCCATCTTTGCTTTACTCCCTCTTGAAATACATTTGCAAGGGCAATGTTGTGGTAGAAAAGAAACCTCTTTATGAAATGATACTTTATTTCTCTTTTGTGCATAATTAATTCATGAAGCCAATTGAGACTTGTTACTTTTGTCTTGCCGCATCTTGAGTATTTGTAGAAAAAAAAGAGAAAGTTTTAGTGATTAATTTTTTTTAAAAAATGATTTTTGTGTTGGTGGAAGAGAGAATTTAGATGTAGAAGAGAAGTGGGTGTAATGACAATGATTAATAAGTAGATGGTGATTGAATTGGAGCAAGGATTGAATTGCTTGGAGAATGGAATTATAAAGCTAAAGAATCTGTAGGAAGGTGTTTCCAAAAAATAATTTAGCTTTAAAGAATACATGGTTTTTTACATATATTTTTTTAATAATTATCATTGTCTTTATGGTTTAGGTTTTGGAAATTAAGACTATGTGAGGATAAAGCTGGGTTGTAGAATGTGAATGTTTTGATTTTAGTGCTTTTTCTAAATATTTTATTTTTACAACTTTGTGGTTTTAGCCATGACTTCAAACCCCTCAATGTCTAATTTGTTATTGTTAGTTTCTTCTTTATCATTTGCTCCAATATTATTGTACTCCTCTAATAACAAATTGACTACAAAGTTGATTGTATAATGAGGCTTGGTAGTTGGCTTTTTTCTTAAGAGCTTCTTCATCTTCTCAAAATGGAGACAACTTTTATTGAGCTTTTACTTGATAGTGACTACTACCTTCTTTTTGTCGCCTTTGGTGACACCATATCCTATTTGCATAGATTCTTCTAGTGTTTTTAGAAGCTTTGCCTTGTAACTTTGAAGTTGCCCTCTCATGGCCTTTTGATTAAGATAGAGGCGTATTCAACTCACAGAGCTAAGCACTATTATAAATGTACAAGAACTTGTTCTTTTAATCAATGGAGCAACACTAATCTTTGTTGATGTTGATGCCAAATATGCTATAAAAGTTCTTAACTTCAAGCCAAAAGAAAATGTTGAAAAAGTCATTGCTTAATAGATTGGCCTTTCTCTAGTGCAATGGAGGTAGATATAGTAGACATTAAATGGACATTGATTAAACAAGACATGGTGTTAAGTATATGAAAAAAAAAAAAAAAAAAAAAAAAAATCAAAACAACCACAATGGCAATAGCTTTGCCAAAGACATTAGGCTAAAGAAACACAAGTTTGGATACTAATGCATCTAGTGTTTTCTTGCAAACAATTAACTCAAATTATGTTTAAAATTTTAAATGTGTCAAATTAAAAATCCCAAATTTAAATTGTTTAACAATTAAAATCAGCAAGGATATATCCATGCATAACAGCAACATTCCTAATGTGATATAAACTAATACCCAATTAGTCAAGGGCTTATGTTAAATATGGACCAATACCAATACCAGCATTAACCTAAAACATAATACGAGCTCACATAATTCTGGGATTTTTCAGTATGACCACCCAGGCTCAGGTGCTACTCAGACAACACAGCCATAATGACAGTGACGACATTCAAATGCAACAAGGTCGCGACACATAATCGAGTGCTAGAGATCGTTGTACAATTGAAATCCAGTTAACACTTTGTGTTCAAAGAATCATCAGATACATGGGCTTTCATGCTTGCAATATCGACTGATCTACCCCACGACGGTGAGAGACGCGGCGCGCCTAACATGGATCTACAGCAGCTATACAATCCTTACGCCGTGTCGACAACACGAGGACGACAGAGTTCTACTGACCATGACAACACTCAGCAACCGCTTTGCCGAGGTACGATATGTTGTGGGCAGCTTTCACGATTAAGTACACTATTTAGGACCCTCCAAATGCGGGGGTACACTCATATCTGCATTCTACCATTCAAGCGGCTGCTGCAATCTTCTCGTCAATAACTTCCGCGGACGGGTTCGTGCACATGAGGTTGCGGTCTCCATACACGTTGTCCACACGCGATGTCGTGGGCCAGAACTTCGATGCTCGCACCCACGATGCGGGGAATGCTGCAACCTCCCTCGAGTAGGACTTGGTCCAGTCGTCGGCCATCACAACCGATGCTGGATGAGGGGCACCCTTCAGGACGTTGTCCTCGCGGCTGGCCTCTCCGTTCTCAATTGCTGCGATTTCCTCTCTAATGGAGATCAAGGCGTCGCAGAACCGATCCAGCTCGGCCTTGCTCTCGCTCTCCGTCGGCTCAATCATGAGCGTGCCGGACACAGGCCACGACATGGTTGGCGCATGGTAACCGTAGTCCATCAGGCGCTTCGCCACATCCTCTGCCTCGATTCCAGCAGTTTCCTGTGATACACACGCAACATAATCAGCAGCTCAGTAACTATGAACCCTAAACCTCCCATTCCTCATGTTTCATATCCAGGCAAAATTTCACTTCACTACTCAGGGCTTCTCGGCATTCAGTACCTTGAACTTCCTCAAGTCGATGATGAACTCGTGAGCACACGTTCCGTTCACGCCCCGGAACAGAACTGGATAATGGTTCTGCACGCAAGCCACATCATGTCGGTCAGATACACCACGGTAACACAGTGACAACGACTGCTGAATCCATGTTGTGCCCAATATTCACAAAAACCAATAAAAACAAAAAAAAACAAAAACAAAAACAAAGACCCGTCGCTGAGTGTTGAATCATCCTATCCACCAACCTCCAAACGCTTGGCCATGTAGTTCGCGTTCAAGATCGCGAGCTTGGAGGCATCCGTCAAACCCTTGTTCCCCATCATCGCGATGTAGCTGTAAGAAATTGGCAAGATCAGTGCTGATCCGTAAGGTGCAGCAGAAATGGGCCCCAATGGTTGAGTGTTGGCCGGCCTTGGGAATCCTCCGGTGCCAACCTGCATTTCGATACTTAATCGTCAGAGGTCGTTCTGAAAACCGCGCTGCCGTCACACAATCCAGTCATTCCATCCCAATCGACTCTCCAGACTCGACACCAAAAATTACAAATCCCTCGCACACAAAGAACTCGGGTTTTTGCAGCAAGCCAGGATTTCCTTACCACAGGGTGTGATGGGAGGAAGGGAGCCAAATGCTTCTTCACTCCGATGGGTCCCATTCCGGGGCCACCTCCTCCATGAGGAATGCAGAACGTCTTGTGCAAGTTCAGATGGCACACGTCTGCTCCGATGTGACCAGGACTGGTAAGCCCCACCTGAGCGTTCATGTTGGCACCGTCCATGTACACTTGTCCACCGTATTGATGGATGATGTTGCAGATCTCATCAATGCCCTCCTCGTACACACCGTGCGTCGAAGGATAAGTCACCTGTTCAAGGGTCAAGCCATCAACCTTGTGGGTCATCTGCACTATTGACAAAGACGACAGATCCAAGAAACCGTGTGCCCTTCAGTTCCGTCACTTCAACCTCGACACAGCTCTCAACAGCAGGCTAATCTACCTCCCCACCGGGCCAGCAATGCCGATTTCTCTCCACCACGGGCTCCGAGCATTGTCCAAGCCACACTCACTGTTCGTGACACCCAGTCACTTCGACCCAATGCAAACACACAGACTACAACCTTTCCAGCAGCCCTGATGCTGCTCGTCTTATCTACACATTCCATTCCCCTATCCAACCGAAATCCCGAGTCAAGCTCCGTCTCTTCCCACCAACATCGGTTGATACTCACCATCAGAGCGGACAGATTGTCCTTGTGCTTCTCTGCTGCCTTCCTCAATTCGGCAATATCCACGTTCCCGTGTTTGTCAGTTCCCACAGTCACAATTCTCATCCCGCACATGGCTGCACTTGCAGGGTTCGTTCCATGAGCCGAAACTGGAATGATGCACACGTCACGATGCGCGTCTCCTCGAGCCTGAGGGCAATCACAGCTGCGCAAGTCAGACTTTGCCTCTAAGAAATTGCCACTTCCTGAGTCCCACAATACCATCCCATCCCCGACCCCACAGTGAGCGTATCCAAACTTAATTGCAACACTCCCAACACCGAACAGCAGGTCACGCCGACGATCTTACAAGGTGGTAGGCACGGATGACCATCAGCCCTGCGTACTCGCCAGCAGCACCGGCGTTGGGCTGCAGGGACATAGAATCAAACCCCGTGATCTCACACAGCAGGTCACCCAGTTCCTTGAACATTTCCTGCACAACGGATTCAAGTCAGTCCCCTCCTGTGTCCGGCCCCTGAAAGACGATCATCGATCCAGCAGCGGTATTCAACAAGCGGTCGCCCGTGGATGATCCACTGCATCGACACAGAAATAACCACCACTCCCTCACGCCAGACAACGTACCTGGTATCCTTGGGCCTGATCCTCCGGGGCAAACGGATGCAGGTTGGCCATTTCGGGCCATGTAATTGGTATCATTTCGGTGGTAGCGTTCAACTTCATCGTGCACGAGCCCAACGGAATCATGCTGTGGACCAACGACAGATCCTTCGCCTGCAACCTGTGAAGATATCGGAGCAGCTCGTGCTCCGAGTGATACTGGTTGAACACCGGGTGAGTCAGGAATGGGGTGTCCCTCTTCAGGCTGGACGGAAGGCGGCTCTCCACCTCCCCTGCCAGTTGCTCGGCAGTAAACCCAACCTGGACCCAATGAAACATCTAAACTCAGACATGTGGTGCAACCAGACTCCAGTAATGAGAACAAAAAGAAGGGAACCCAACAGGCACACATCGCCGTATCAACCAATCACTCCCTTCAAGCAAGGTGTAGGGGACATTCCACAATGATGTGCACTCACGTTCTTGCCTCCACCGAAAATTTTGAACAAAGTGTTCACGTCCCCAATTGTCGTGGTCTCGTCAAAAGATAGCGTGACCTGTGCATCCGTAACCGGCAGCTAAACGTCAGAACAACCAGCATACATATCACCTCCGTGTGGTTACCCCGAAACAACCGGTTGCAGAAAATTGCGACCAGATACGGCTTTCGATCAACTCACCGAGCTCGAGTCCAACTGTCTCAAGTTCACACCGTGTGCAACTGCGTCCTTCATAACCTTCTCCACCTGCCCTTCACCAACTGTCACCTTCACTGTGTCAAAGAATGGTGCGGATCCGGTTTGGAATCCCAACTTGCTCACTCCAGCGCTGAATACTGCGGCCAATCCATGAACTCGGTTCGCAATCGTCTTCAAACCCTCAGGGCCATGATATACGGCGTACATGGCTGCCATGTTCGCCAACAAAGCCTGTCAACAGTTCCAATTTCGTCAGACATCCCTCCATGGCGAGATTTATCAATCAGCGACAACCAAAACCAGTTGCCGGAACATGAATTGGTGGAGCACGCAGCAAGGAACGCGGTGAATTCCCCTTATAATCGACATATCAAGCCAATTCGTGTTGCGCGCAACAGATTCCTCGTGCATTTCAGCTATCAAGAAACCTCTCCTCCTCTCCTCTCCTCTCCCAAAAACCTACCTGAGCGGTACAGATGTTGCTGGTCGCCTTGTCACGACGAATGTGCTGCTCCCGAGTCTGCATGGCCATCCGGAGGCATGGCTTGCCAGTGGCGTCAATGCTCATACCGATGATACGCCCGGGCATGAGACGCTTGTACTCCTGGGAGGTTGCCAGAAACGCGGCGTGCGGCCCTCCGTAGCCCATTGGAACTCCAAACCTCTGAGCGGATCCGACTACCATGTCCGCTCCCAGCTCACCGGGAGGGGTCAGCACCGTAAGAGACAACAAATCGGTCGCCATCACCACCTTCACTCCATGAGCATGGGCGTTCTTGACGAAGTCTGAGTAGTCGTTCACCGACCCGTCCGTGGCCGGGTACTGCACCAGCACTCCGCTCACGTCCTTGCTGCTGTAGTCGAACTTCTTGTAATCCGCCACCACAACATTCAAGCCCAGCCCGTCTGCTCGGGTCTTGCACACCTCAATTGTCTGGGGATGGCAGTTGTCCGCCACCAAGAACGTCTTCTTCCTGCCGCGGGCAATGTTGCTACACATTGTCATGGCCTCCGCCGCAGCGGTACCCTCGTCCAGCAACGACGCGTTGGACATGGGCATACCTGTGAGATCCGTGATCATGGTTTGGAAGTTCAGAAGCGACTCCAGCCTCCCCTGCGCGATCTCTGCCTGGTAGGGCGTGTACTGGGTATACCATCCGGGGTTCTCCAAGATGTTGCGAAGAATCACGGTGGGGACGTGCGTGTCGTGGTACCCCATTCCGATGAAGGACCTCATCACCTTGTTCTTGGACGCCAGCGACTTGAAATGCGCCAACAGCTCGCTCTCCGTCAACCCCTCCGCGTACTTGCTCAGCTTCAGGTCGGGCCTGCGGATGGACTTCGGCACGGTGGCGTCGATCATGGCGTCCATGTCCTCGAATCCGCACATCCCAGCCATTGCCTTCTGCTCTTCCAGGGTAGCGCTGTTGTGACGCCTCTGGAACGTGTCGCTGGGCTTCAAAGCCTCCACGGAAATGGCCCTCACCCCGAGCGGAAGCTGCACCACTCCATTCCCGCTACCACGCAGCAGCGAAGCGCCGAATCCCCGACGCGTCTCGTTGCCAGCGGCAGCTCGCAACGCAGCGCCAGAACGCACAGGCGCAGACGGCGCAGCTGCCCGCCGCACCGCCTGCTGCACCAGCCGCTTCACCACCTGCTGCTTCGCCCGCTCCATGTCGACCTCACCTCTTCCCTCGGCTTCAAATTATGAATGACGGCAATGGAAGTAGTAGAGAGGACGGAAAGCCCTCGATCGTGTACCTCCACAGTAACTAAGACTACTAAACAGAACGGGTGTCGGGGGTCAGTATTGTATATACAATTGCACCGCTCAAACTAGCAATTGCTGGGCAGATGCGAGCGAATGAAGGGCTGCTCTGCGCCGTGTGTCTGTGGCAGAGAGTGCCTTTCAGTCTTGTTATCGTTTAACATACGGATCTGGTCCCGCTTTCTTATTAATGTCCTGTTTTGCGTGGACTGGTGAGGAAGATGGGATGGATGCGTGATCCTGCTTGCTACCGCTCAATCGATCGGGAGTGGTGTGTGGATCTGCTGCTCCGGCATTGCAGGAGGTTGTCCCCTACCATTGGTCAGGTCGGCTTGGTTCCTGGGCTGGGTTCTTGCGGTGTTGCTCTTGCACACCGTGATTTCTCCCCAGCTTGTCGCATTGAGCCGTGCCGTGCCCTGGCTCGGTAATTTAGGATAACGTGTGTGCGATCATGCTGTGTGCGGATCCTTCTTAAATGACCGATGCCGTTTCAAGCCACCCATTCCTGTTCCATAACCGTTCGTACTATTACCCTGCAATTGTTTTAGGTCTGCATCAACTTTCGACAAGCTCTTGTTGATTCGGTGAGTTTCGATGGTGATTTCACCGGATGTGTTTTTTAACCTTCGACATCGTCCAGTATTCGAAGAGAAATTAGTCTCTGAGAGGGTAGATTTGTGTAGCTGTTTTAAGTTGCTGCCAAACTTTGACTTTACCTGTATGGCAGTTAAGAGGAATTAAGTATCAATCATTTTTGGTTTGAGGGAGAGGTAAGATATTTTCCTGGAGGGCTGTGTGGGAAAAAGGACTGATTTGAAGTTGAAGATTAATGTTGCTTAATATTGTGTGGCTGTAGAACAGTGGCATTGCTGACATCCCCATCACCATGTAAAAAACTGCCTCCTGTGGAGGTCTGGTACCACAGCCTAAGCTTTGTGACATGCCATATGGGCAGCCATGAATGACAACTGGTTGCTTTTGATTCCAAATCTCATTCCTTTTCCCAGTACATTATCCCACTTGGGTTCATGCTGTTCATGAACATACATCACATTTGAGGGTGAGACTTAAAAATCTGATGACTGATGGCCCTTTCTGCCACTAGTTCACAGAGATGCAGAATATTTGAACTCCAAACTGGGATGAAGATTTTGGAGGTTTAATGCACCAATAAAGTTAAGATGGATTTTGGGTTTGCCACATGTGACTTGCTTGATCACAGAACATGCAGGGAAAATGGAATGGTAATAATAGTGTTGTCCCCACTAATTCTAGTGAAGTGAGCTGCTCAGATCTGTATATACTATTATTCTAGATTATTGGCAAGGTGTAACCAGAGGTTTTCTAGTTTCTTGTCATGCATTATTCTCTAGTGATAATGTATTTTATGTTATGCTCTTTGTAAGCTGTTACTATTTTTCTTGTGGCTTTGTGGTTGTAAACTAGCACAAATGGAGTATTATTAAGTACATATATATATATATATATATGTCTAGGAGGTCTTTGGCTTTTTGTATGGGGACTCAGATGATGCAACATGGCATGTGCATGAATCTGTAAATTGCAGGCAGGTCATTTCCTCCTGATGAAAGTGGTGATGACTATGATGACAAGCTTTTTACACAGTGGCCTTTAATTCCAATGGTCCTCATCTACTCAAGCTTTACTTCAGTCCTTTTTGATCTCTGGACCTCATCACAACAGAGAGTGCTACAGGGTAGAATTTCTCCCTCATCCTGCATTTGTATGACACCAGTTGTTTGACAACCACATCTTAGAATTCAAATGAGAATCTAATGTGAAAGATAAGGTTTACCCACCTTGTCATTGCATAGGGATTCTGTCAAGTTGATTACATAGTCTACCAACTTACTTTTGAAATAATATAATATAAACTGATCAGTAGCATCGGCCATACAAGGTAGATTATTCTTCACTTTTTGTAATAATTACCCATTGAGAAAAATTACTCTTGAAAATGTAATCAAGGCTAAGGGAGTAAACTCAAAAAAATATGATAAGGGTTTAACATAGTATAAAATAAGGGTTAAAGTAACAAGCAACTCCAGTCGAACTACTCCGATTAGAGATCGGAGAGCAGAGCCCCTCCAGTTCCAAACATCGTCGCTGGTAATCCACAGTAAATCCGATCTGATTAACAGACTTTTGTTGCAGAGCATCAGGATGAAGATCTCTCAAGATAGTCAGTCAAGTTCGTGGTCAGTGCACGGAGAGGACGGTGGCGAAGGGAATCGTGCCAATGAGCCACCAAATCTCGTTCACCTCTGGGAAGCAAAAAAATACGAGAACGAAGGAGCGATTCTATAGAAAGCCGATGCAAGGAAAAGGCGACGACGAAGGCTGCTGCGCCAATCATCTGGGGCTCCGATCGGAGCATGGAACGGATCTCAGATCCAGTGGCATCGAGCGGAATTCCTTCCACGACGCTTCCAACAGATCAACCAGGGAATCTCCGATGCACCAGGTGCTTTCGACACATTATTATTGGATCGGAACGCTGGCCTACTGGTCATAATTTACCCCATTTCGCTCAATTATTCTAAACTACAACAGCGGCCACTCACAGTTTCCTAAAACGACAAAGAACCCAGTCTCACAGCAGAAGCCAAGAATCTTCCTGAGGCACATGAGCCAGGGTGCTACACCGCTTGCTGATGTCGAGATATAATTAGAACTCTCAACGAACTGGCTCCAATCGTTCGGAACTGTGCCTTTCGACGGCTCTGAACATTTGAACGGCATCACCCGACCCTCAAGCGCTGGGGAAGTTCTCAACTGCAGGCGGAGGGTCACAAACCTAGATGAGCTGACCACACGCTGTGGCATTGTCCGGGTTATTTTGCGGGCATTCTAGGGGCGAGGACCTGAGAAGAAACTGGTCACTGGTGTACAGCTTCAGTCGTTGTGCCATGACGAGACCGTGGGCTGGATTGCCGAGGTCTCGGTCGAGTAGCCTACGCAGCGCCATCTCTAGTTGAGAATGGGCACCATTCGTGCTCTCGACCGTTGCGGGTGCTCATGTGAAGCAGGAATCTAGACACACGAGCAGTTTCGGCACGCACTTTTGTGTGTGTGTGCGTGTGTGTATATATAAAAGTGTGAGTTGCACTCTGCAGTGAAGGGAATCCGCATGCATTGTGAGCTTCTGCTTGTTTGTTATTGCCTTTGGATGTTTGTCATTGCCTCTGCTTATTAATTGCATTTTCTTGTTTTGCTACCGCCGCTACCTGTGTGTTACTACTTTTTTTCTGTTGCTGTTGGTTGTTTTATGACACAGTTCAGCTGTCGGTCCTTGCAATGTCGGTATTCAGGGCCGATCTTCGTCATTGCAAAGGTGTCATCGCGGATAGCTGGTGGTTGCACATCATCTATCATTCTTTCCCTTCTGTTCTTACATTTTTATTTTTTGAGACTTTTTGTATTATAGCATATTTTAGAAGGAACTTCTCCTTCATCTTGCAATTTCTTGTCGATGTTAGTTTTTGAAAAGCCAGATACAATGGATTTTGAAACAAATGAAATTAATTTTGAAAATTTGTGAAATAAGTGTACTTTAAAACTGACTGTTATATTTACTCAGACGATATGAAATTACTCATTAGTTCACGTAATAATCCAACGCCATGTTTATTTAGTTTTTGAATTCCAGATATATATATATATATATATATATACATGAAAATTTATACTTTTTTTGAAGTTTTGGAGGTTTAAATTTTAAAAATTAGTATAGACATTGACATGGATTGATTGTCTTAGTTTATCTCAATTGAGAAAACAAATTAGCTAAGGAAGGAAGAAACAAAATTTTGTGCAAATAGAAGCATAATAATAAAACATGATACATATTATCTTTCATGGTCATTGTAAAGTACAAAAAACAAACAAACAAACAAACAAACAAACAAATCAAAACAAAAAAAATTGTCAAATGTAAGAAATTAAGTAAAGCAATAAAATATAAAAGTACTATAGAATAGCTCAAAGAGTATTATGAGAAGAAAAAATCACGTTAAAAAAATGCTTTTGTAAAATTAGTTAGATTTTAAACACCAAATATTTGAAATAATTTGTAGAAAAAGTGTACCATATTTTAATCATAATGTAGAAGAAAATAGTATAAGTTGATTGTAGTAATAAAGACCAAACTCCATATTTACACAAAAACTCTGAATTAATATTGATCAAATATGAAATCTTAAAGATATTTTAAATAAGGTAAAAAAAAATCCAAATAAATAAATAAATAAAAAATATATTTAAAAAATGTAATTTTTAATGTTTTTCCTTATTATGTTCTTTTAAGACATTTATTTAGTTAGGATATGTAAAAGAATATACATATGTATGTATTTTTTTTTCTTAATTTGTGACATCCTCAAAGTGTTGATGTTAGAATTTAAAGTAGCATTTGAAAGAAAGATAATAAATTTATTCTACATTAAAACATATTATAGAATCACCAAAATAAATAAATGAATAAATAAAATGTATATTATCAAAAATGAATACCTTGTATATAATGTTGGTTACAATTAAAAAAATTAAAAATAACTTAATGATTAATTTAATCCAATTACACAGATATATGTTTTTTTGTCTATAATATAAATTTTTATAAATTCAAATTAATTTATTGCAAAAAAAATTCTATATGGTACTTGACTACCTATAATAAAATACAACATCAACAATGCCTAACATTATATGCAATTACATCATTTTAAAACGTTGTTCCAACAAGTTCTAAATGATCTAATGTAAATAAATGCAACTTGATTTAAATTATTAATTGCCATCAAATTAACAATCAATGGCTATTTTCTATCACTATTTAATTTGAAGACTTATCAATAAGATAAGTAAGACCAAAATCTATGTTAAAATGAATAGTTTGAGAGATTTGTAATTTAAAAAGTTTTTATTTTTTATTTAAAATAAATAAATAAATAAAAATTTAAGCAACAAATGTCACCTTTTAGTTCTATTCTTTATAAAACATGCCATTAAATCTTCTAAAAAAAAATACTTTATTTATATATGTATAAATATATCTATATCTATATATATATATATATATATACATACATATACTAGAAGATTTATTTTATATTTATATATATATATATATAATAATTATTTAAAATAAAAATATTATATATATATTTAAAATAAATAAAGATGTATTTTAGTATAAAAGTAGATTTTATATTACTAATTTGCTTTATATCTACTTAGACAATACTTTTGAAAAGAATTCACAAAATTAAGACTTTAATCAAAATATTTATAAGATTATATTAAATCTTTAATTTACGCAAAAATTAAGGAATATTTTTTTGAAAAATCAAAAATAAAAGATGCTTAGATATCATAGGTCTAAAAGTAGGAATGAAAGTGTTGTTGGTCAACTAGTTGATTAGGATATTATGTCTTTATAAATCAAATATATTTTATATTATGAGGCATAAATTGATGTTTAAAAAGTCAATTATTTAAAAAAAAAAAAAAAATGATAAATTTTAATCAGATTCTTACTACCAATTAAAAATTAAAAATTAATTACAAAAGTTGGAAATAGATTTAAAAAACACATACCGAGATAATTGACTTTGTATCAAGGATATGAATCATAACAAAACTCTACAGAACCAATACACTTTTTGTCACTCAAAAAGTGAAAGTAGACAAATCAATGATAGATATAAGATAGAAAGTAGAATGACTATTGCTAAATAAAAAGAAACTAGTAATTCTTGAGTTAAGATAAGAATACAAAAAAAACTTTGCTATGAAGGCTTCACTCTTGCCAGCACATATACTATCTAATGAATGAGCTATGTAGTTATGTTCTTTAGGTCATTTGATACTTGTCCAATTGCAAGATATGTGTCTAACTTGCAAGACAAGTTCTCAACATGTGCACCACATAGTCAAATTGTATGACAAGTGATTAATATGTGCACCACATAATCTACAGCTACCACGAATAGTCAACATGTGCAACATGTGGCAAACTTATTAGCCAAATTTTTAATCTACCAATCACTTATAAACACTTAAAAAATCAAACCCATATCTATGAAGCTTTTAAGAACCTTCTCTACAAAATATCATCAAATTTACTTACTTTTACTTGCTTCTATTTAATTGCTCTTATCTTTATTAGTATCAATATGTCCATGATACTTTATTGACCTAAAATCTCTTAATTAAAGTATACAATAAAATTTTATTGTAAGATTTATTTTATTCTTATCAATCTGAAGATTATGTTGGAAAAAATAACAAAGCTACATAAAAATAGTTTTCAATTGATTGAAGATATTTTGAAAAAATTCAACTTGTATATTTGATTATGGTATACAATCAAAGACACTCTATATTCTTTATATATATATATCACATATAATCTATAATCATATCTTATCTAAAAATTTCAAACATAAATAGATATAATATTGTTAAAGGATATATTAAGATCCTTAAAATACTCTTGAAATCTAAAAAATCACTTGAAGAAAAAAATATGATAAAATTATTCTATAATGTAATAGAAAAAATATAATTTAATCAAAAATATATTATTAGAATACAAGACTAAACCTAGTGATGTGTATAACCATATTCTTTAAAAACTAATTAGTTTTTAATTATAGCATATAAAATTTAAACCTTAACAATAAAACATTTTATCTATCTTTTTTGTTAAAGTAAAATGATGTTTTATATAAACTTATATATATATATATATATATATATATAATTTGATAGAAAGATATAGATATTATATTTAGAAAAGATATTATGTATCTTTATTATCTCTTGTACATACATCTTAAAGAAGAAATAATTCTCTATAGATTCTATTTTTATTATGTTTAAATTCAATGCATTTAGAAGTAGACAACATATTTAATATTCAAAATGACCTTGTGTTCAGTATATTGGATGTCATGAAAGATTTATATTCTATTAATAATAAGTTTTTGCATAAAAATTTATTACAATGTGGATATACACTATTTGGTCTCATCATAACACTTTCACTTTTAAAGGTACAATACAAACGAATGCACATGTATGAGAGAAAGGTGATGTAGAAAAATTTCATTAAGTACAACAATAAAAAAAACATCATCCAAAAATGATAATAATAGTTTGATGATAACAAATCATTCTTCGAATGATTTAAAGCGAGCCTTAACATTTTAGGTTATTACCCTTGGAAACATCCCAACATCGGGAAGGATCTCAGTCGTATTGTAAATGTTTCTCATTTGTTCTGAAGCATTTGGTATACCTCATTTTGACACACAAAACAAAAATAAATTTTCCACAAAAATAAATTTCCCAATTCTGCAAGAAAACCGGAAATGGATCCTTCAGACGGCAACATGACCACGATTCTCACAGCAGAATGCCGAAATTCGAACCATGAATTCAATGGTTGGAGCTTCGGTACCCATTACCCAACAGTTTATTTATTTATTAGAGCAATGTCTTCGATTCGAGGTTTCAGTGGAGCTTGCAAGTCTGAAGAGATATGTGCATCAAATCCGCAAAAACCTCTCCCGAATTCGGATATTTTTCTGACGTTTAACTTCGCAGCTGCCTTCTCTTGTGCTGTGGTTGTTCACTTGTAGAAGCTTGGGTCAGTGTCAGAAGTTGCTGGGCCACGTGTTGATTGGATTTGACAAGATTGACATTGCGGTGTATCTGCTGCTGCAATTGGTGTGGCGGTAGGTTTACTTTGTGACCAAGTTGTTTCATCCTGAGTTTGTTGGGTATTGCTGCTGCTTAGGGTGAGGATGGCCTTCTCGTTTGCGCAAATCTGGTGTTCCGAGCTGGCCCCCTTGTGCTCATTTTGTTTCTTCGGCTGAATTGTTTCTTATTGATCTTCGTTTCGTATCGCCCGCGGCCTTTGAGGTTGCAGATTTTTTGTGGATAGCTTTCGAAGTCACGCTGCGTTGATAGGAAGAGGGCTGATGTAACGATGCCGAATGAAGCCCCGCTGAGCTGGGCTGCTCTGGCCGGTTGTCCAATCTCATCAAGGTTGTGGAATTGTCCTTGTGGGGTCTCTTTCAAAGCTTTACTTGGCGCCGACATTCCTGAGATTTGCAGAGATTCTTCGCCCTTCAAAGCTGCCGTTGATGTCTGCTTGTGCCACTTCTAAAAGTCTCTACTTCGCAGTTGAATGAGAGTTTGCTAGAGTTCGACATGGCAATTTGTTCAAATGTCTTCGCTCTGCTACGATAATTTGACATAGTGAACGAAGTTTCTTGAGGTGAAAATTGACGCAATGCCGATGTAGCGAGAAGCGAGAGGAGTTGGAAGCAGGTGTGCTAATATTTCACGCATAGGTTCCATACAGTGGTAAACTCCACATCCTCTTTCATATCAGTCTTGACTTCCGAAAGTTGTTTTGGCGCGTCGATGGGATAATTCCGTTACACCCAGATTCTGAGGGCATCATGATAGCCTCAAAAATCACTTGGCGAGGTTTTGTGTACATAAGCAATTGCGCATTAGTCTTAGTAGAATGACTGTCAAGGGTTAAGGGGTCAAGGGTTGAGAGGCCAGTTGGTTTAAAAAGACAGTTTAATCGAAACTGCTCACCAGCGAATTGTGTCAGCACCGTTTTCGATTCTGGATCTCTTAGATTATGTGTTGCTTGGAATCATCGACAAACGCAACATTTTAGGATGAATTCGCTTACTTTCTACTGATTATGTGCGTGTATGCGCATGGAGGAATGTTTTGTAGGTGTTGTTCAAACGAGTGTACCATACAGACAATGTTCAGTTCATCAAGGGATTTTTGTGGGTGTGGATTGTGGAATCATGTTTTACATCAATAAGCATGTGATGAGTTTCGTGAAATGATTATCAGCGCACCTCCTGTGCATTAGAGCTTGAGAGAAAACTTGTACTGTAATGTGATAATTGGGAGATATCGTACTTCAGGCTCAACATACCCTAGTTACTCGCCGATTCAACCTTCCCTGTTCTTTGTACAGTTGGATGGCTACTGTAGAACTTGCTTATTTATTTCTGCTTTGTTGCTGAAAATGTTGGCAAAGGGTGTCTCGTCACAGAGTAATAAAACTTCAATAGTCATACTGATGCTTACATGAGTACAATGAAGTCGTGAATGTCTAAATCCAGTTCAAGGACAAAGACGCATGTAATCAGAAAGCCTGGATACCATGCCTTCTCTTCTAAGTGTGTGATTTGTTATGTTTTTTAATACTTTAATGAAAAATAAGACTCAGTATTACATCAACTTGTATGTTTTTCTCATGTTGTTCCATCCGACGATTGAATTGGTAGAGTTTGACATGATACAACTACTCCATTTACAAGATTTTTTTTTTATATTTTTTATATATTTTTATTCATGAGTGCTGGATGGATAGATATCGCTGTGGTCGACGAGCTGCTCAAAGGACCAGGGTTAGTTTACGAGCTGCTTTTGTTAACGTAGGACTGTTCTTGCACGAAAATTGCTTAAAAATACGGTTGTAAATTCGAGTGACAAACAGATGGGTGTGTGAGCATATTATTCACAATCGTGTCAGAATAAACTACATTTTGAGGATTAGTGTGCTACTTACCGCTATGAACTCATTTATTTGTCTCAATTATTCATAGAGAAGAGTTTAGTCGAGTCTATCTTTGTATCTTTAGTTTTCTCCAGTTAATCACTCTAGTGCTGTGGACTTCGAAGAGGAGGTTGTGTCATTCAGCATTTGATTATAAGTAATTTGAATGAGACTGGCGCTTGGAATCCGAAGGCACAGATTCCAGAGCAATGTCGTGGTTTAGGCGTTGAATTGAAACCTTATTCAATAAGTGGACGAATTTTCAGGACATCTGCCTGAACTGTTACAGATGATAGATCCAATCCTTTGTTTTCATGAAAGCTTTATGAATTGGCTTGAATTGAGAGGATATATATTTCATCCTGGTTTGTTCTGCATTGCTAAGACCTCTAGAATAATCCTGTGACTGCATCATGAGTTGAAGGCAGTAATGGCCTCCATTTGCTTTAACTGGTAAGTGAATAAATAGTGGATTTATGATTGTTGTATATTGGTTAGCTCTAGCTTCTCAGGGACAGTTCAGCAACCTATAATTGCTATTTATATTCTCTCTTCAGGGTGCGCTTGTGTGGGACGACTATGTATTACTGTTTTGCCGCTAAGATAATGACTGTTGGTTCTCCCGGACTTTGCTTATGCTAACAATGTTGAAGGCACAAACATGCCACAAACTGGTATACATCAAGCTGGGGTAGATGATGCCCCAGCGTTGCTCGAATCCAGCAGCAGATGCTTTACCCACAACCCCATTGTGAAAATCTCCGCGGCAAGGGAAGCCAGTAATCCAAAAGCCATGAGACGGACAGTCCAACAATCTTGAGAAATGGATTGAGCAGTCCATCCCCTCTGCTGTAGTTCCTTATACTGTCACAGTCCTTGTGAGATGCTATATTTTTTTCAAAGAATGAGGTTTCACTTTAGAATAGTGGATCAGAGGTATTGACTGAAGTATAATATATGGGTCAAACAAAACCATCTTGCGGCAGCTTGGAGACTTCCACTCCCACAGGACTTACTTTTCATAACATATCTCCAACATGAAAATACGAAATGAAAAAGATGGGGGTCGAACAATATGTCTCAGAGGTCTCGATAATGAGGCTTAGTTTCTCATGGTTCTTTGGTGCCGTGATGCATGATTGAGGAATGCATCAACTCTTGACATTGAACTCACTGTTTTATTTTGTTAGTATTCATTTTCTTCTCAAAGAAGCCATGCTTTTCACAAGCACTCTGGATGGTGTTGATATTGTTGCAGAGGGGAAACCACACCCTTAGAAATGATTGGCGTCAACGCAGGCTTTGTGGATGGAGAGGGGATGCTTTTGAATCCGTCAAAAGGCTTTCTTCTTCACTTGGGCATGTGGGCAGGGCTTTGCAGCCAAGTGAGGGATTTGATGCTTCATGCAACCGAATCTGAGAGGAGCCCTCAGCTCTTCACTTGTGGCCTCATTTTGCACTTCCGGGGTAGCATCATCCCCATCTCCTGAGATACATTTTAACAAGTCAAAGTAAATTGATGTATGTTTTGAAGTTGCATTGTTTCATCTTTTGAAATGGCTGTATTTTATTTTTACTTTTTTACTTTTTACTGATTATTGAAGACAATCATTGTGTATTGAATACCATCATTTTTTTAATACAATTATTGAATACAATCATTTTTTATTATTTATTTTACTAATTATTGAATAGAATCATTCTTTTTAGTATACTATGATTTACAAAAGAAATAAAAAAGGTAGAAATTTTGTATATGATATAAAAGCTATTTTTCACTCCAATTTTTTCTTTCTTTTTATTTATTTATTTTCCAAATAACTTTTGAATGAACTTGTTTGAATTCTTGCATTTACAAATTGAAATTCTAGACAAAATCAGTTCCCTGAAAGGATATGTAGTTGTATCAATCAAGTAAAAGCTAAAAAAATAATAAAAAATAAAATAAAAAAATTGAGTTTTGCTTCAAAATAAATAAATTAGAATCTCAATTAGAAGCTATTAGCTTTTTCCAAAATATGTTTGTATAGATATATCTATATACATATAACCTTAGTTTTAATAATCACAGATTTGAAGATTCAATAAGAATTTATTGCTTCATTGAAGTCAAAACTAAAATTTTACACTTTTAATTCAAATTGTTGTCTACTTCTTTGATTGTTTTGTGTTCGTCTTTTAGATGTTACTTATCCATTTTTTTTCTATATAACACTTTTTTTTCATCTGAGTTTCTTCTATTATTATAAAATTTAAAACATTAGCAAAAAAAATTTTTGTTGTTGTTGTTCGTGACATATCTTCTAATTCATTTTTGTAGAATCTATGGTTCAAAGTTGTGGCAGCTTTCTGTTTTCAGACCCCCCTTCTTTTTAAAATATAGGAATTTGAAATCTTAGGTATTGGAATATGTATTTATTTCATTCATTTTTTTGTTCATTTGTACATGACATATTGATTGTTGATGGATTTTGGCAGCTTCTTCCAACATAATATTAATTAGTTGAGTTTCATAAAAGATAATGGAAGAAAAAGAAGGTGTCTCCATGGACATGAATAGTGGGAGACAATCTAAAATGGGGAGCTTAAAAGAAATAGTAGAAGATAAGATAGCAATAGAAAGAAGACAAAAACGGAAGGAAGAAAATGCAAAATTGAGGGTGCAAGGTATTAAAAAGGTTGGTCTTTCAAAGTCATTGATGTTAGAAGTAGTGTAAAAAGTGTGAAAAGCCTACCCAATATATTATAAACTCATTCATTGAGGAATCAAAGTTGTGTGTTTTACATGGCAATCTTCTAGAATTTCACCAAAAAGACTATCCTTTTATTCTTGCTCTTTTTGGCACCATGTAAAGCATTATTATCATCAAATAACTATTCAAAACATATCAACAACAATAACAACACACTTCACGTTGTTGAGTTTCCCAAAAACCCACTTCAATTATCCTCTTGTTTGTTTGTGCACACTCACACATGCAACTCAAGTTTTATTTTTATTATTATTTTTTGAGGATCTTGTGCATTCTACTTAAACTAATAACACGTGCAAGATTTTAGGGTTACAATCCCAATCATGTTCTAATAAAAGGAATTCAATATCAGTCAAGGGACGCCTTTGAAATGATACCTTCAAAACAAGAGACAAAAGAAAACAATTGGGTATGATAATATCATTAGAGGGAGCTTGAAACTCACGTTCTCACAGTGAGGGAACATGAATTGGTGATAGGGAACACAGATCAGCAATGGGGAACGATGATTGACGATAGAGAACGTGTACTCGAAGTGGAGAACGTCCATGGCGATGGGGAACGTGGACTAACGGTAGGGAACGAAAATCAGCGATGGAGAACGTGGACTAACGACAGGGAACTTACATTGGCGATGGGGAACGTTGGACGGGACCGTCGACAGCTAGCGGGACACGAGAGGTGGGGGGGTGCGGGGATGGGCCACGCGTGCGAGGCCCGGGTGGAGCGTAGGCGACCCGTCCGATGCGCTGCGGCGCCAACTTGGCCGTATGCGCGACACGCGCAGCTTCAGCGGTCGCCATCGCCTTGAAATGTCCCTATTCACCGTGCCTTCGATCGCACCCATAGCCGTGGATTGATTGAACCAATTGAGCGGGATCGGGCGGGGAGATTGAATTGATTGCCTCATCTCGCTATTCTGTGATGTTGGTCTGTAAGATTCTTTCAAACGTTTTCAATTTGGCTGCGCGGTGTCGAGGAGTTTGTGGTTGAAGTAGGAGTGAGGAGTGAGCCGTGGCGAGTCGACTTCAAGTATTCAGCGCGTGATTCCTTTTGGTTTGAAGGTGGAGGAGTGAGCATAGTCTGCTGTAGTTGAGTCGGGGAAGAGAATTGGGAATTGGAAAATTGCAGAGCATTTGCGGTGTGCATTGGTTCTGTAGAATTCCCTCGGATTTCATGTTTTTGGTTCTCACATTGGCGGTCAATTGTGACAACTATCAATATCGGATTCTGTGTCGAACGTGCCAGGTGGATTGGAACGTCGTGGCATTCGCTTGATGAGTCGAAGTGGATGTTGAAGTCCCGGACGATAGATAGTTGATTGTGTTGACAAAGCGTACTGGGAACGGGGGTTTGGGATGGAGTGAGCGTCGCATTCGTCCTGAAATAGCATCTGCGGGATTGTGAGGATGTGTGACGATTCTCCAGTTATGAAGTTGTTCGCTTCGAAAGGGGCAAGTTCACCGCCTCTTGAGAGCGGATCGGGTATGGAAAGCAGGGCTCCTTCGTCGCCAAATTTGGGGAGACCTAGGAACAATGCTACTGAAGCTGCTCATCAGCAACTGCAGCAGCAAAATGGGCTTCCAACGTTCATCCGACCCTTACACCCAAGGGTTGAAGAAGTACTAGATGCTGCCACTTTTCTCAGAACATAAACGGCGTTGAAAATATTACGATCTTTCTGCCGGGTATGCTAGAGATTGAGTTCCCTGGTCTTTCCACTCCTAAGATTCCAACAGAGTAGGCGTTTGGGTGGAGCAACACCTGACATGGAGCTCAGCATCAGGGGGAGTGTATTTATATCCCCTGTTTTATCTGTCGGGTTAAGTTGTCTCCTGCGTCTTCGGTCCCTTACAAGTCATTTCGCCCCTACTGGGTCCCTACTCATTCGGTAGAATATTCTAACTATAAAGCCGCCCTCGGGATTTGTAGTCAAAAAAGACCTGTGTTTGGTGGAGAGAATTCTCTCGCACCCACGTTGTATCCGTTGTCGCGGTCATTGAACTACGGCTTTGGATTCCTTGCGCGTTTTGAAGCTTGCTCTTCAAGAGCTCCTCTTTCATGACCACTGGCGAAGTTAACAGGAGGGACTGACACTAGAATTCTGGATTCTCCTCGTTGATGAATCTTCTTGCGGCTCTTCTTCTTAGTTTGTTTTTTTATCATTAGAACCGTTTGATGAGCACGAGGACGTTCCACGGCTACCTATGATGGGCAGATAGATTTCGAAGTCTTCGCGTGGGTTACCTATAGTCATACAAGCGTGCGAGATATATATTCCTTATCAAATTTCTGGAGGCTGCTTTGTTGAGAGCCTGGCGGAGCGGTCCTCTATCCATCCTCCGACGAATTCAAACCATGATTGCATCTGTATTTTTAGAACTGGACACTTAGTTATCACCACACGGATTCAATTTTCCCATTCATGTAGACTATTGTATTTCGAGCTGCACGCGTTTATGAGGAATCTAAATGATGGTACCATTTAACGGTTTCGCTTATCTTGCTTCACTCGTAAGACCTGCTTTCAGCGTTCCGCTTGCCAGGGATTTGGTGTTTTTGAGATTTCAACATTAGGCAGCACCCATTTTTTAGTCATAATGATGGTTGGAGAGCAATAATTGTGTTACCAGAGCTTCGACGTTGAAAAGAATTTGAGTTCGAATGACAATCATTGCTGAGACTGCCAGGACCTTCAAGTCCGCCCATGGACCTTCCTCTTCAAGTGAGATTCTTTGATGCACCTCTCATGTGTCCCACTTTGGTTCTGCCTGCACCTCTTTCCTAAACATCCAATTTTCGTATTGGCATCGAGATAGGCATTCAGATTGTCGAACTTTCAGACTTCGAACCAGTGATTCTTGCCGCTTTTTGTTCAAATTATTTTAATTCTCCAATCTAATAGGAAGAAAATTGAATTTGCGGTGAAGATCCACAGTGAATCCGCAGTGAAAGCCATTCAATCTACGACACTCCTAATCTTGTAGTGGATCGTCATTCAATAATCCTTCTTAGGTTTGCATCGTTCTTTGATGCCGGAGCGGTTGACTTGTGAAGGATTATTAATGCTTGGAATGGACTGGTGGAAATAGTACTTACATCTGGTTGAATATCACAGCATAATCTATAACTTCTATGTGTAGGTTTTAAAGAAGAAAGTACAGTTAATGTGAGTTTTTGATTGTCTCGTTCATTTGCTAATACCTACCAGAATTTGTTGTTTGTGCTGAAACTTTTAAGGCATAGAAAATCGAACATTACAAGTTCTTAGGTAGGGCGGCAGGGTTGCAAATTTCTTTTGCACTCACTCGATTGTGCAAGTTTTGGCAGATTTTGTGGGGCGGAGGCCCCCTTCCACTATGGGTGCTGGGTCACTAAAGCATCATCCTAGAGATTCAGGGCTTGAACTGAACAATCAATTTTCAGATACAGCATCCTCAGCGTCCTCCACCTGCTCAGACCCCAGCATTCCATCTTGCGCAAGTACCAGCCTGTGCTCGGGCTTTACCACATCTTGCAAGACAGGATCTGACAGTGATTCTGCTTCAAGCACTCCCAGGACAACTCCCAGTAAAGTTATTTCTTGTCAAGAAAAGCCCGGGCAAGCAAATTCTACTGCCAAAATCCTGAAAAACTCAAATCCACTGAAAGATCCTCATCGGAACGTATCAACGTTTGAGCTTCAAGAGGACCCGGAATTTTGGAATGATCACAATGTGCAGGTGCGAGTCTAATGCACCTGATATTATGGAAATTCGAAATTCGCTTAATCTGCTAATTGTCAGTTTTCTTGATGTACTCCAGTTTTGGCAAATTGGTTTTAGTTTGCCAAATTACCAACCATAGATTCTTAGCCCACACTATGGTCCAATGCAGGTTCTAGTTCGCACCCGCCCCGTGAGCAGCTCAGAGGCATCAGGGCATTGTTTTGGCAGATGTGTTAGACAAGATGGTCCGCATACCATTACCTGGCTGGGTCAACCTCAGACTCGTTTCTCTTTTGATCATGTTGCGGGCGAGTCGATCACGCAGGTTGGAAAGCCCTTTCAAAAAGTTTCGAGTTTGAAATGCATTAAATATGATTATTGTATTTTAAGTCCAAGACGAGAGTGTACTGACGTAAGGATTTACATATACTTCAGGAGGATCTTTTCAGAGTTGCTGGTGCTCCAATGGTGGAGAATTGCATGCGAGGTTTCAATAGTTGTATGTTTGCCTATGGCCAAACAGGGAGTGGCAAGACTTACACAATGTTAGGTGACATTCATGATCTTGGTTACCGGCCAAGCCCGCAGCGTGGGATGGCTCCTCGCGTCTTTGAGTACTTGTTTTCCAGGATTCAACAAGTGAGTGATCAACACAATGCAAGATTTTTTTTCTATCCGACTGTCTCGCTCTACAACACAGCGCTGGACACTTCGCTAAATTGTAGTTCTACCATGGATTTCAAAGATCTTTCGTCGGCAATAAGTTTTGAAATTCAAGCGATTGGAATTTTACAGGAAGAGAAACTTCGGGAACTGGAGCAGTTAAAATTTTCGTGCAAATGCTCATTTCTTGAGATCCATAACGAGCATATCACGGATTTACTGAACCCAACGTCCACCAACTTACAGGTACTGTTTTGATGATACAGACATCGACTTCGAATGGCGTTTATTTAACGTTCAATATCCTAATTGGTGTATAAAGTAATTGATCTGCCCTTGACATGCACAGATTCGAGAAGATATCAAGACTGGAGTATACGTCGAGAATTTGAAACAGATTGAGGTCAAAACTGTGCATGATGTGGTTCAGCTACTCATTCAAGTACGTCTCCTTATCCGTACTTAGAACCTCCTGCAATCTGATCGCAGAATATGAACGCAGACTCTCATGGTTCTTGATTTGTTATTTTGATTTCAGGGAGCTTCCCACAGGAAAGTTGCGGCCACCAACATGAACAGCGAGAGTAGTCGTTCTCATAGTGTTTTCTCCTGCACTGTAGAAAGCAGGGTAAGGATTTCAGGAACTTGGTTTATTTATGAAGAACACAAGTCTTTACTCGGTTGCTTTAGCACATGTAATAATAGCCATTTGCTGACGTTTGCTTTATTTTCTTCTGTCGTGCAAATGTGCAGTGGCAGTCTGATTCCTTGTCCAAAGTCCGAGTTGGCCGCTTGCATTTGGTTGATCTTGCCGGATCGGAAAGGTTCGACTCGTCAGTCATTGTAGTGATCATGCAACAATCTTTTAAAAAAAACTAAATTAGATTAAGTTATATTTTTTGTCGTTCCTGAATTTCTATGAGCAGACACGCTTTCTGTGTCTAAATCTATCCTTGTTTGTGTTTTTTATTACGAATCAGACAGAGCTCTTCAGGAGCTGAAGGTGATCGTTTAAAAGAAGCTGCTAATATCAACAAATCTCTTTCAACCCTTGGGTATGAAATTTCTTTCCACTGAACTGATTCTTTGTTCTTCTCCTTTTAGGTTATCCTAGTAGTATGATAAATAGAGTGACGGGGTTTGCTTAATTAGTAAATGTTACTCGTAGTTGCTGTCTGTGTCGTCCCAACTGTTCTGAAAACGTAATTGTTGCAGGTTGGTCATTATGACACTCGTAGATATTGCACATGGAAAGCAGCGGCATGTTCCTTATCGTGATTCAAAGCTCACTTTCCTTCTGCAGGTCTTTCCTCTATTCGCAAGCTAATACTTTGTTTAGCCACATGAAGACATTGAATGAGATATGGAAGATTCAATTTTTGGAATGATAGCACATGTCTTGTTTTACTGCAATTGGGACTTATGCTGGCTCATCTTACAAGCCGCAGGATTCACTTGGTGGAAATTCTAAAACAACAATCATAGCCACAATTAGTCCTGCGAATGGGTGAGTATTCGTCTCCGTGGGCTTCCACATTATGGTATCGAGGTTCTCTATGTATGCACCTTTTCCAGTAGTTCCTGATCGAAGGTTGATTACTGTGACAGTTGAAAATGAACTAGCAATGATGCCAAGAGACTACCTATTAATCAAAAATAATATTGGATTTGGATAGTTCGATATCGTTCATCATAGATTCTACCTCCTAGGTTACGTATAACCTCAATTGGTCGATGATACAGATTTTTTAAACTCTCTGTTTAGCGTACTCATCTTTTTTTCTTGACAAGACGATGTATTATTGAATGCAGAAGTGCGCTGGAGACCATGAGTACACTAAAGTTTGCTCAGCGAGCGAAATTAATTAAAAACAACGTAAGCATTTTGACTTGTATTAGTAGACTTTACGTAATCGCTGCCGCAGGATTAGACATGATTGCTATTGACGGTCAATCTGTCTTGCTCAGGCTCATATCAATGAAGATTCCTCAGGAGATGTGAACGCTCTGCGTCGTGAAATCCAGCAGTTGAAGGTTAACATCAATACGGTGTCTATATCTTGCAAATTAAGTTTTAGAGCAAGAAAACTTGGTTTAAACTAGGTGTCAATCGTACCTGCAGCTCTTAATGCGATTTTCCTTGACCTGATGTGGAACAGGAAGAACTGAAGCACCTGAAATGCCAGAATGTATCGGCTATTCTTCCATTGGAGAATGATCACCCCCATGTGGCATCTTCGAGCCCCACCCCTGGAATAGGCTCAAACAATCTATTGCACAAGGTATTCAAGGAAATCATCTTCAATAGAGCTTCTTTTGGTCTTCATTGAAGTTTAAGATGCTCTATTTGTCTTGTATGTTTGAGGTCCTATCCCATTAACATAATTGTGCTGCAGATTAGGACTATTGAGGCTACGCTTTCTGCTGCCTTGAGAAGAGAGCACCAGGCACAATTAGAAGCCAAGCGATATGCCGCCATTATCGACCAACTGCATACTCTGGTAATTCCCACCACATAGTGAACATGTAACAGCATTGTCTCATTGAAATGGTGGTAGTTTGAACATCAGACGCTTCTTGAACCCTACAGCGAGGACATGACGTAGTTCGTAGGCATCCTGTACAGTTGTTGTGAAGCAACCACTTATGTGATTGTAGCGTTTCTCCAACTCATGCTTAAGAGGACGGCAAGATTGCCATGCTTTTGGTAAGACTTGGTGCCTTTTTAATTTGTCTCCAACGTTGACCATCCTGTTACAGATGCAACAGCGTGATCAGAACACCCAGAATGGTAGATTGATTCTTCGCTTCAGAGACGAGAAGATACGCCGATTAGAAGCGGTCGTAGGTGGACAGTTACCCGTGGATAACTATCTCATTGAAGAGAACAAACGACTTGTCCAAGAGCTCGAACTTGTAAGAGCGCAGGTTGAACGTAATCCAGAGCTTACCCGGTCAGCTACGGACAATATTCGACTTTTAGAGCAAGTCCGAGGGTATGAGATCGAAAAAAATCAGTCCCCCTTAAATATTTGTGATTTTGTTTTGTTTCTTAGAGTATTTCAGATTCGTGCAAGTGAATGAGTCTACTGCCTCTCAACTACTCGTCTTGTTTGCAGATTTCAAGTATTTTATGAACAGGGAGAGCGTGAATCGATGATTACAGACATTGCAAATCTTAGAGATCAGGTTTTACTTCACTTTTCTCTTTTCAACAATAAAATGAATAAAGTAAACATTGTTATTATTTGCTTATGTTGTCAATTGTAGCTGTCTTGAATCGTTTTCACCCTGCCTCTGACATTGTTGTGGGATGGAAGTTGTTGGATACAACAAGAACAAAGCTCGCCTTAGAACAGGGAGCGCTTGCCCTTTCGAGTGCACAGGTTTCTCCTGTAGACCATACACATTTCATATCTCGTTTTAGTGAACACAGCTTAGTCATTTCTTGTACAGTCTCCGTCCTGCACATATTTTGGTGAAGTTACTGTGACGACTTGTCGCTGGATCTTCGTACGCTTTTGGACCCTGCAATGTCTAAGGTGGAGTCTTTGCTCTTGGCGTTTCAGGCTAGCAAGTACCGCAAGGAGTTGGAGATATGCTGTAACGACCTAAGCACCTGTTTGGAGATAAACTCGACATTGACTAGGTAAAGGCTGCCTTCCGCGTCAAACGTTAAAATTCACTTAAGTGTCTCTTAGATTGACGAACTGCGATTTTCTAATCGCAAATTTCGTACTATTCATCAATCTTTTTGCAGACAAGTGGAGCAGCTGACATCACAAGTTGCTCAGCTTAGTGCGCGCTGTCAAGAGCAGCAGCAAGATCTGGATTTTCTCAAGGTATTTTCATTGGTAGAATGTGAGCGTTTTGTTGAATGATAGAGGCGGTATATTGTGGGTGCTTCTGCGATTGTGATTCCCCTTTTTTTGTGTACGTCGACCTCATTTTGTGATTCATTACAGACCCAACCAGTGGGATGCCTCGAGGAATTGGAGTTAGAAAGGTCCGTACACTTGCAAATCATCGAAGACTTGAAAACTCAGCTTCACGTTCAGCAGGTTGATCGCTATCCCAGACCTATACTCTTTGTGGTTGTCTTCCCAACATTCTCGTAGGTAGTTTGTTGTCACACACCACATGCCAGTGAGACGAGCTAGTTTCAAGTGATTTCTTTTAGTTGTCCTCCAAATATCGTAAATTTTTATATGTGGTGCAGAAGGAGCGCGAAGAGTCTAAACGAAATGCTACTGAAGATGATATTAAGAACGTTGTCCAGGACAAACACACTGTACATCACGTTCAGGCTGAAGACCAGACTCAGGTGCATATTAAGTTATCCAAGTAGACTTTTCTTTCCATTTGATAATTGTCATCGTTTACATCGTTACGAGGATATCTACTTTTGGATTATTAATTAATACTATTGCCTTGGTTGAAGCAGGTGCAACGAAAGGTTGTTGTAAATCCAGAGCCTGAACCTTATGTTGAAGACTTCGCGACTGTTCTAGATTCCTTGTTCGATGAAGACATTGAACAACTTTCAGTCTTTGATGTGAAGCAAGCAGCAATGGAGACAGAGTTTGAGACGTTTTCAGAGCTGATGAGAGCCAAAGAGTCGCTCTTGGACGAAGATCTTGAGAAAATAGACGTATCCACTAAGCGTCAGAGTTTGGAGACAGAGTTTGAAGCTTATTCAGGGATTCTTGATAAAAATAAATCTTGCTTTTCTGAAAAGTTCATCGACCGTGATGTCTCCGCCGAGACCTTAGAGATGGCTTCTCGTACTGAACTATTCACTGAGCTTATGGAAGGAGAAGAGAAGCTATTAAGGGACAGCTTGGAGCAACTTAATATTAATGCAGATGTAGTGTCTTTACCAGAGATCCACAAACCCAGCAGGTCGGAATTTTTAGTCAATGGAGTTCATGAAGATTTAGTACTTATTCCAAAGCCTGAGAATCTCAGATGTAGTTCATTTTTATATTGAACATTAAGAAGTTAAATCCCTTCTTCCAACAATATCTTATTGGTTCAAAGTATAATTCATCTAATAGACCACAAAATACTTTGGTTGGATATTTTAAGAAACCAAGTTTTTTTTTATTGATTTAGAAACTATCCAAACTAATTTAATGCAAGTCCTCAATAGAATGTTGTGTATTTATATCTTCTACAAGATTGGTTATGGCCAAGAAATTTGTAAGCTCAAGTAATAATAAATTAGCTTAGATAATCTTTCAATAATATACATTTTTAATTCAAGCAATTTAATAATGGTGCACAAAGTATTATATTAGAATCTATCTTAAGAAGGTTAAAGTTAAAATACATTTAGAAGAGAGGTAGGGTGTAATTTGCTACATCTTTAAATAAACCAATCTAATAATTTGAATGAGGATGTTAAGTACTACCTACAATACAATCTAACTAATAGATATGGTATTTACTGGTGATATTTTAATAAGCAATACAATAATTGTTTATTATATTGAATTCATGCCTAGCCTTCATTCATTCTTTGAATCCTATAATATGTCCATCTAAAATGTCTTTTGTTTTTTTATGAATTTGGAATATAGATTTGGTGTTTTTGTGGAACTAATATATATATATATATATATATATATATATATTATTAATAAAAATTCTAGATTCTATCATAAAAATATATTCTATTTATTATAAAATAATTATAGATGTCTTTGATAAAAGAACTTAACTATAATTTTTTCTACTTTACTAATTTTATTTTAATTTATGAATCTTACACGTCATTTGTTATTAGAAACAAGGATCACTTTCAAATTTGGCTACCGCTTCTTAGATGCCTAGAATTTGCTCCTATTAATCTGTATCAACAAATTTGTTGTAAATTTAAGCCTCTTAAATATATGGTTATCACCATCCATTTATACAATAAGATAATTATTTTATTGTTTTTTTAATTTTTTATTATCAATCTTATTTGATTTATCTTTTGACTAATGTTTATAACAAATACGTCAATCTTATTTTAATGTAATTTAAAACTTTAAGCTTTTCTATTATACATTCTTTTCTTCTAATTTTTTTTATTTTTTTACTTTATTTCTACTTTTTACCTCACTGCTAACATTTATTATTATGGTTTCTATCTATATTGCTATGTACTAAGTCCCTTGTTCAACCCTCTTGGCAAAGCATGAGTCTCTATAGTCTTTAATTTGTTTTATTCTCAACTTGGGTATTGTGGGCCATCTTCTCATTGTTTTATCTTCAAAACTATGATAGAATAGATGGGATCTTTAGTCTCAAATTATACATCATTGTTTTGTCATCTTAATAAATTTTTGTTTAAATCAAATTGCCTTAAACCGGTTGCACATCTTAGATTGAATTGCCTATCATCTTTGTGGATTTCCTTCAATCAATAGCTACTTATTACAATTTGGTTTTTGTTGCATCTTTGTCTCAAGCCTCAAGTTGATCTCATCCTTGGTTTTAGCTCAATATATAATAATGGTCCAAATTGTATCCACTTTCCAATTCAATTTCTTATAGTTCTAAACACTTTTATGAAATTTTTATTTTTTCTATGTACTAAATTTGTATTAATTTTTCTCATCTAATTCCATTCTTATGAATAATTTAATACTCTTAGCTCCTACTAAATTCTCTTCTACTTATATCCTAAATTTTAGGTTATCACAAATACATTTGTGTAATTTTAAGTTTTAAATCTTAAACTTAAATTTGATTTAATCATTTTGTCTAAAGTATTGAAAGCTATAAAATTACATAATTTTATTATCTATGTATATTATCAATTTTTATATTGAAAGATGATATATTTGGAATAGATTAACATATATAGAAGATTAAAAAGTGAATGATATTATTTATTGTTGTTATTATTAATAGCATTGTCTTTTATTTTTTTAAGAAAGATATGAAAGAACTTGTTGCTAGAAGAGTAGATCGTGTTGTTTGTCATTGAAAGCTTAGTATAAGTACTTTGTTTTTGAATAAGGTAGCCAATGCTACAATTAATTGTTCAGCTCCAACTATTGGATTGCAATATTTTATTGACTTTGATCACTCACAAAGAGACTTGTCTTGCAATAATTTATGTTATAATGTTATATTCTTTGTTCAAAGGTCTAAAAAACCATATTTGTAATACTAGCAAAGATTTAGAGCAAATAAATCAAATCCTTGATTATTATAATAATTTTACTTTTTAATTAATTAAAAATATTTCTATTAATTTTATATATTTTTTGCACAAGATACAAATTTTAAATGCTTGATGCAATTCAATAAATAGACGTATATAAGAACATTTAAAAAATAAAATTATTATAATAATCAAGGATTTGATATTTTTTTATATTTAAATATTGATATTTTTTTAAATATGTTGTATATTGTGTCAATTATATAATATATCTTTGATCATACTAGTTAAAAGTTCTACATATTTTAACATTAATTTTTATCTTAAGGCCTTAGAAGGCCTTTTTATTACATTAGAAGTATAATATTGATTATTAATCATAGTTTTGTTTTTTAAGTGAATTTGCAACAATTATTATGTACTTAGAGTTGATTATTAAATTTTAATTATATTTAACTTGTGGATTCTATCAATAGATTCTAATTGGTATAATTGCTAAGAATATGGTCTTAAATTATAATAAAACTATTTAATGAAAGTAAAAAAAAATTATTATATTATAAAATAGCTTATTTTAAAATATAAAAGAAAATTATATTAAAAAAATACATGAAAGTAAGGAGATAATAAAATAATTTATTGATAATTGTAGAATAGACAAATAAACTTTGTGATAAGTTATTGGTTGGTTATTGATAACCTTGATAATTAGACTGATGGTTAGGCAATTTAGTTGGTAACAGTAGGTTGTTAGTGGAATAAATGATTAAGAATTCAAATGGTCATAATCTTTGGAATCCGTTGGCCGACGGATCATCTTTTTGGTAGGATAAAGAGGTTGACGAAAGAAAGATCAGATTTAGACTGTGAGAGTCATAAGCCTAGAGCCAGACTGTGAGAGTCATAAGCCAAGGGCCAGATTGTGAGAGTCGTAAGTCAAGGTAAGCTTGGTGCTACCTCTTTTCATTTTTCTTATGAAGAATTGGGATTGAGAGAAGTATTGTTGAAACTGTGATTAGAATATTGTAGAATATGATTTTGGACTAATCGTTTTGGAGAAGATTTGTAGAATTAAGATTATCGAATTGTGTTGAGTTAAGTGAAGATATTGAATTCTATGTGATGAATTAAAAAACTGAATATAATAAGTAAGTTGGAAATCAGTAATTGAATATATAGTCCACAAAGAGAGTGAGCGGGAGATGAACTGATAAGAATATTGAAGTATTGTTGAATTGATAGTCGTAGAATGGATTATGTGTTGAATTAAGATGGAAGTAGTAAGCCTTGGTATTTTGTAGTTTGATAATTGATTTTAGATAGCTAGAATATAGTCAATTGTGACACTAACAGACCCAATTCATATAACCAGTCTTTTCCCGTATTCAAATCCACTTCTATTAGTTGAATTTCTTTAGTATACTAAAGCTTGAATGCAACGAGAACAACATTTTGGCATCGCTGCTGAAGAAATGATAACAATATGAAATGTTAGATATTGATTGTATGGGAAGAATGAAAGATTATGAGTGATAATCATAAAGGGAGGGGATTATCAAAGAATTAATTGACAAGCGAAAGAAAGACAAGAGCAATTACGTATAAGAAATCTCCTACAAGAACGACAAAAAGGAATTGTAGGTCCAAGTAAAACCAAAAGAAAAAAAATTCAATTTCAAATAGCAAAGAGACCAGTGATAACACCAATGGCCACGGGAGTGCCAGAAGTACCAATTGTAGTATAAATGGAAGCAGTAGGAGACCGCACTACAAGTGTGGTACCATTACCTACTTTTAGTGGTTGGTCGGGCTCTGATCCCGATCACCATATATCTCAATTCTTGATAGACTGTATGGCTAATAATGGTAGAATTGAAGACATTTGATTGAGATAGTTGCCAGCAATTTTAAAAAATACAGCTTTTGAATGGTATATTTGGCAACCAATGGGTAGATTTTCCGATTGAAAGCCCTTGAGGAATGCCTCCCCAACCCATTTTAGACCAATTGGATTTAAAGATCGGCTTAGAAAGAGTTTTATTAATATCAGGATGTTTGCGAGGGAATCAGTAGAGTCCTATTATGGTCGGATCGCGGATATACTTTGTAAATGGGCAAATAATCAAACACTAGATATGTTTATATTATCGATATTAATCAATAGTTTGCATCCACCAAAATTAAAAATGTTTGTAAAAGAAGCTCGACCAGGTATGATAGAGGCATTGTTGGCACGAGCAAAGGAGTGGGAAGAATGTCATTATGACCAATTGTTAATAGTGGGGGCCATGATGATTCTAAGTTTAGGAAACCAATAAATACAACCGAGAAATATGTCGATGGATAATTATCCACAAATGGCTGACTCCAATATGAAGAATGTTATGTTGCAACAACCAATTAATGCTACACCACTCCAAGCAATAGTGCCAATAACAATGACACCTTATTTTACATCGCCAACCTATCAACAATCAGAGTTGTTCACAAATGTGACTGTTAAAGATTCAAATGAAGCCTTGTTATTAAATCTAATAAAGAAGATGGAAGAATTGGCCATGAATTTGGCTAAAGATAAGGAGAAATGATATAAGCCTTATAATACGAGACCTAATGTATGGTGTAATAATTATAAGGGACAAGGTCATTTTGATACAGAATATCCATCATCCAAACAAACAGGTGTTCAATGTACATTTTGCAAAGGAAAGCATCCTATCCAAAACTGCTGGCATTTACAAAAGCAACAACAATTCAATAATCAGACCATGATCCAACTGACTCAGTGGGAAGTTAATCAAGTTCAAATGGGAAATATGTATGGATGGAATGAAAATCGATTTAATCGACAAAATTGAACATTCAATAACTTTCAAAGTTCTAATTTTAATCAAGGATCTGCATCAAACCTCCAGAATTATGGGAAAGAGCACCAG